TTTACATATTTTCTACACAAGAAATAACATGTGCTTTATCTGAATGCTTGTAATTCTCCGGAGGGGAAGAAAAGCCTTAGAACACTATTGCAGTGTATATTTTTTTAGATCATGTGCCAGCCAGTGATCTGAGTGTTTTCCACAAATGCACATCTCAATATTCTATCCCTAGAAAAATAACTAGTTAACAATAGATATAACACAGAGGTCCCACAATTATTTGACCTCCCATAACATTTTCAGAAATAACTTGGAACCAGTCCTGTAAATCTGCCTTCTTCAGTGAAAATACAAAAAGTGTCCCCCAGTGGCATCTGAGGCTACTACTACCACCCTCCATCCCCTGACCATTTAGTACCCCCAGTAAGGGTTGAGGGCATGCAGTATTGCCCACTTAGAGTAAGACTGCTTCAGAATAAGCCAGGATATTTGGGAATTTAATATGTAACCAAAGTAAAGCTCTTAAAGATGGCACCATATTTTTCTTCTACCCATAATGCCATTCAGATATAAGAAAATTAACTATCAGAGTCAATTAAAACCAGATGAAGAATGAAAACCTTGAACATATATTACTAGACCAATTTCCTCTAAATAGTCTTTCAATCTTCCTTTTCTTGTTCTTACTCTGACTCTGTGCTCAGGGATCACGCCTGGCAGTGCTCCGGGGACTACATGTAGTACTGGTGGTCAAGCTGGGGTCAGCCACATACTAAGCAGGCCCCCAACTCCTGTACTATCTCTCTAGCGTTTCCTTCCAAGTTTACTACGTTTACTCTCTGAAATTACAACCAAAGAAGTGAAACTATGTGTAAAGCAGAGGCAAGAAAAATTTTAAAAGTTTATGTTACAGACACATAGATTAATTGTAACAAATAAAGATTTTTTTCTTATAGGGGGCCAAAGATAATAGGCATAAGGATTCCCTTGCACACAGCGGGCTTAGTTTTGATCCCCTAATACCTCTTTTGGTCCCCTGAATCTGCCAGGAGTGAACCCTGAGTACTGCCAGGTGTGGCCCAAAAATGAAAAAAAAAAAATTTTTTTTTCTTTCCCTCATACTATTATTAGGCAACAACGTCATTGTTTTAAAAATAATTTAAAGACTCATGCATAAGAGTAAATTCTATTCGATGTAAATGAAGATACAAATGTCAAATTTTAAAAGTTCTTGTATTTTTATGATAAATAATTTTCCACCATTTCAAAAATAACCATAAATTACTGCATGTGTTGTAAGTATGAAATTTGCAGAATGTATTCATTAAAGTAACACTGCACTTTAACATTACATATGTTTCTGTGTGCATTAAAACAGATCAAACCAAACTATTTTTATTCTCTCTTGTGCTTTTTCTAACACTATCTTAAAGTCCTATATATTCAGGAGAAAGAATTCTTATTTAGCACCTTACTCAAATTTTCACACGATCTGCTCAACCATGTGAGAAAAAAAACAAAATAAAACACAATGAGCATTTTCCCTCTGGAGAGAAAAGCATGTAACAATACGTAAAAACAGACGAAGCTGAAATAATATGGTAGGGCTTGAGTCAACTGATTCTTTAAGACATCACTCCACTTTAAGACTTCACCAAGTCTATAAGTCATATTCCATATAGTTCCATATGTATTAAATATAATACATTTAAAAATAAAGTAACACAAATGTAGCCACATATATTTTAGCTGTATATAAATATATGCGTATTACTATAAAGAAAAGGACATGAAACACTCATCCAAAAGAAAAAATATGATTTGTGGGACCAGAGAGATAGAACAGGAGGTAAGGAAGGCACTTGCCTTTTGGCATCCAGCTACAGTAGCCATAACTCTGGTTGGAATCCCAAAGCACCGCCAGGGGTCATTCCTGAGCAGAGAGCCAGGAACAGCACCACTGGCTGGGGCACAAAAACCAAAAATAAAAGGGCCCAAGCTATAGCACAGCAAGTGAGGAATTTGCCTCGTTGCCACGGACCCAAGTTTGCTTCCCAACACTCTGTGTGGTCTCCCATACACACCAGGAGTGATCCAAGTGCAGAGTCAAGATCAAGCCCTGAGCACTGCTAGGTGGGGTCCCAAAACAATAAACCAAAAAACTCCCAAAGGCCAAACAAAAAAAACAGGTTTACTTCTTAAAATATGAAGACTGGTTCAGCATTAATATTTTAATTTTTAAGAATATTCTATTCACTAATTGTTTACATAGAAATGATGCAACTATTCAGAGTTCACTAGATATCCTCATTTTGTACTTCTCTCTACGGATATCCTTCATAGAAAAAGAGCTCATCATCCATCAAAAATGCTACTGTGGGGTGGATGGACGGAGGGAGAGAGAGAGAGAGAGAGAGAGAGAAGGAGAGAGAGAGAGAGGGAGAGAGAGGGAGAGAAAGAGAGAGAGAGAGAGGGAGAGAGAAAGAGAGAGAGAGAGACAGAACAAAATCAGGTTTGATCCTGAACACTGCATGGTCCCCCAAATAAAGCCAGGCATAACCCCAAACACAGAAGTTGTAGTAGCTCCCATGAACCATGGGTGTGGCCCCCATACAAACAAAACCCTACTAATATTTAAACGTGTATAACTTTTCCTCCTAGAAAATAGATACCGCTTGAGTAAACACATCATTTTCAGAGAGTGTCTAACATGGTATACATTTATTGAATGCACACGTAAATCTCTTTGACAACTAAATTATTCAGGGAAAGAATCCATTGGCAACTTCTAAAAGGTAACAAGTATTTTCAACAAACAATTTAAAAAGACTGGCTGGGATAGTGACTATGAAGCTAAACTGAGAAATGTAAAGTTCTTGTTTTAAACTCTGCTTAATGACCTGTAATCCTTGCTGTGCTCAAGGGAACCTATACAGTGCCAGGAATAGAGTTGGGGCCATCCAATAGGCAAGGGAAGCAACAGACCTCCTGTACTATCTCTCTAGGATCCCTAAATGAGTTATTTAATCCTTTTTTTTAATCCTCTCATCTTTTAAGACCTGGGTGAAATTTTCCTCCATTATTTGTGGGGAAGATTGCATGGGAATATTGATAATTTAATTAGCACAGTATCTGGTACTGGGCATCATTAGTTTATTCTTAGTTACTGATAGTAACACAATAACATATATGTAAATATATTGCTCAAAATCCTAAAAACATCTTCATTAATGGAGAGTAACATAAACTCAATCTAGCCACTGTAAGAAACAATAATTTGAAATCCATCTGGACTGTGCAAGTGAAAAATGAATACCTCAATTAATGTGGCAGAATAACTTCCATGCAAATACAAATTACGCATTTTTTAAATTCTATCCCAATAAGTTATAATCAGCTTACTTCACAAACAGAAAATGTTCATAAAATGTGTGCACTTTAATAAGCTGCATATTCACCATTCTTGAAGAAAATGCTATCTATCCAAATTATTAATATGCCAACAGAGTTCAATGATGCCTTCCACAGTTAATTAGCTAAGAAATAGTATCCAAAAAAAAAAGCAATGAATAAATTCATACTAAAGTACAGAGAACTCCTTGGGTAAATATGGGCATTAAAAAAAAAAAAAGACACAGGGTCTTGCTATGTTGCCCAGGCTGGAGTGCAGTGACTATTCACAGGCGCGATCCCACTACTGATCAGCATGGGTGTTTTGACCTGCTCCATTTCCGATCTGGGTCAGTTCACTCCTCCTTAGGCAACCTGGTGATCCTCCGCTTCTGGAGGGTCATCATAGTGATGCCGAACTTAGTGCGGACACCCAATCGGTATAGTACACTACAGCCCAGAACTCCTGGGCTCAATCCATCCTCAGGCTTCAGCCTCCCAAGTAGCTGGGAAGACAGGCGCGCGCCACCACACCCGTAATAGCACAGCGGGTACGGCGTTTGCCTTGCGCACATCCGGAGTGGCACATCCGGAGTGGCCGATCCGGGTTCAATTCCTCCACCCCTCTCAGAGACCTTGACAAGCAACCGAGAGTATCTCGCCCGCAGGGCAAAGCCTGGCAAACTACCTGTGATGTATTCAATATGCCAAACACAGTATACAAGTCTCATAATGGAGACGTTACTGGGTCCGCTGGAGCAAATCTATGAACAGTGATTACAGTGATTAAAAAAAAAAACTACTGTTTTGATTTAACTAGATTAATAAAAAATAGTCAACTTACATTTCCCCTTATTATATATAACCAATAATAAAATATTATAAAATTAGCTCATCTAAATTGAGATATATAAATTATGCTCTATTAATTCTACAATAAGTCCTAAGCATTAAACAAGTTCAGGGCTGAAGAATTAATTCACAAAATGACAAAACAATTTATTTATATACATTAATAAAAAGGTATGTTAAGAAAAGGAAATGTAGAGAATCAAAATTCCCCTGCACATACACACATATTACACATATATAATAGTACAGTCTTTCACATATATATAATATGTGTGTGTGCGGGTATCTATATAAATGTGTATCTCTTGCCACAAGCAAATCACTTCCGCTGCGGGCAACATATCTGCTAAGAGACAAAGAAAGCAGACCCCCACCCCACCCCACACACACAAAAAAAAAAATGCTGAAAATACTACTTATGCTTATTCTGTAATTTTCTACATACAACAAAAATACAACAGGTGCAGAACTTGGCCTATTTCATCAACAGCTGTAATGGTTAATTGGTTCTTAATTATTCTCTTATGTAGTTTTGTAATGTTACTACAGCTAAGGAATACTTTTCAAAAATTATTTTCAATGATTCTATTTCTAGTTCCCTTAAAAAGGAGATGCCCAACCTCAAGTTTGATGTAATTGCTTTCCTGCTGCTGGAAGAACTGAAAAATTTCAGCAAAACAACTCTTTCTTTGTTAGTCTGAGTGCAGTACTCAAGACACAAGCAAGGCTCTGTAAGTAAAAACACTAACAAAACTAAGAAAGCAGAGTTGTTAGGTAATCAAGGAACCACAATTTGCAATTACTGTAACAGAACTCACCTGTTCATTTTTACAAAGCCACACGCTGTTTCCACTTAACACAGTAAAAATTTTGGCTTTATAACCTCTCAATTCAAGATATCCACTTTTCTCAGGTACAACTGCTTGGGGTGGAGAGGAAAGGGACTGTGACTTCAATGCATTTAAGAGGATGCTGATCCAGTCATTTCTCTCTTCTGAAAACAAAGACAAGAGAAAAAGTACATGCATCATTCTTGGAGGCATTAGACAGCTAGACATATTTAGACACAGAAACATGAATAAGGATCTTAGCGCCAGATTATTCATGGTCTTCTCCCATGTTCACAAACAAAGTCCAACTGTTTGCAGAATCAATACCCACTTTTATCATAGAAAAGCTTATAGAACCCTTACTGCTCAGCCATCCTATCACCAATACACACCATGGACTTCACTGGAGAACTTAGCAGAAAAGCACAACTCATACTCTCATCTAGGTCTGGTGAACCAGATCTTTGCTTTAAGAAGATTCCCCAAGTATGCATGTGAAAATTTTAAGAAGCATTCTTTTCTCCACGACACTGAGTTTTCTCCTTCATAGAGGAAAGTAATACTGGTACCAAACAGTTAACAGATTGTACTTGGCAATTCAATTACTCAAATGCCAGGATGTTTGTTACTAACAATCATCTGAAAATCTGAAGAGTCTACTGAAAAGAGAGTATTCTCCTTGATATTCTCATCCATTCAATTTTCACCACTGTTACAAAGGCATGCCCTCCTCTAAATTAAAACATGGTTCTCTTCTTCCCCCAGAGCTAACTGACCTTCATCTATGTACAACATACTATGTTATGGGCAGAGGAATTTGATCAACTCCCCAAAGAGCAATCAAAGCTATAAGTCAAGTTAGATATGAACATAGAATACTATAAATGTCATCCGAATGGTGCCGAATAATACATGAGTCAATACAATGAAGGTAAGTCATCTGCTGAAGGTCATAGAGGAAGTTATTGTTAAAACTAAGACAATCCAAAATTTTAACGCTCAAGCAATCATACATAGTACAAGGGAAAGGAAAGAAAATGATAGAAAATGATAGAACTTGGCGAGAAGAAATTTAAAAGATAAAACCGCAGTTTTGGATGAAAGACCAAAGGAAAAATTCTGAGCAGAAAAAAAAAACTATAACAAAGATAAACATATGTTCTAAGACTAAGTTAGAAAAGAATCAAGTTAGAATTTTGAAATCATAAGGAAATAAGAAGATACAGGGCTAGAGATCCCATACTGCTTATATAAGAAGGTTTGTCTTTATATGAGGAGCAAATGTAAACCTTTTCAGAACTCCTACAAAGGAAGGGGTGTGACTATCATAATTAAGACATAGGCTTGAGATCGGGAATAAAGCAACAGAATCTTAACAGATGATGAAAACAGAATCAAAGTTATGAGGAGACACATTAAAGGAGTGAAATTCATTGACATTTTGAGTATGTTAGACAGTCGTTCAAAAAAATCAATAAATAAATAAGAACAAAACCTAATTACTCAAAATAAAAGTAGCTTTATAGCATGAACAGAATTGACCAAGAAGGAAGGTGGTTCCACCCTACGAACAGAATTACTGCAGATTTTCGGTCACTTGTATGAGCAAGCAGGTGGACAGAGAGTAAGGGACCTATACAAGAAAGACCTGTGAAAGTGGGGCTATCTTTAATGTAAAAGAGAAGAAATGAACAAATCTGACATAACTGTATCTAGAAAACTTGGGAGAATACTTTTAAAATTGGTTTTAAAAAAGGAGAAGTAGTTATTAAGTCAAAAGTGGGCAGGGAGTCTAAAATCTGGCTAGAAACAACTTCCAAGAAAAACAGAGAAGGAAGACTGGGGAAACAGAACAGTGGATAGGCTCCAGACTGCTTTCCAATAGCTGACTCAAGCTCCATTTGCAGAACCCCATTTGGTCCCCTGTGTACCACCAGAAGTGATCACTGAGGACAGAGCCAAGAGTAAGTCCATCATCTAGATGGTCACCAAACAAAAACTGCAAAAGGAAAAGACAAGATTAAGCCCGGGAAAAAGCAGATAATCTATAACAAGCTTGTCCAGAATAACTTCATTGTGGACTGAAACCAATCTCCACATCAGACTGGGACACAGTTGAAAACAAATCTTAGGTTTGTAACAGGAGCCATTTTATAATTATACACATTTTTGCTTACCATCAAAACTACTGGGCTGGAGCGATAGCACAGCGGGTAGGGCGTTTGCCTTGCACGCAGCCAACATGGCTGACCCGAGTTCGATTCCTCCACCCCTCTCGGAGAGCCCGGCAAGCTGCCGAGAGTATTCGATATGCCAGACACAGTAACAACAAAGTCTCCAATGGAGACGTTACTGGGCCCGCTCGAGCAAATCGATGATCAACGGGAGGGCCTTTACTTTACTTTTACTTTTACTTTATCAAAACTACTAAAAACAGTTAGTATATTTTAAAGACCACATCTACCATACCTCTTAAAAATTCTTTTGAAGGATCATTAGATTGCAGCACATGCTTTGTGCATGGTCGGCCCCCAGCACTGCATCATTACCCAACATCCACAGATTAAGTCAAGCACACTCGCATCCCAAAATTTAAAACATTTCTAACTCTTCATTCATGTGGTTTTATTATTGGCAAATAATAGTGTCCTCACGGGGGAGTGGTGGGGGAGGGTTGAGTTTCTCTCCCCCCTCCCCCACCCCGAGCAGAGCTCCAGCAGCTGAGGACCTCCGGAGCCAGCCACAGCCATGCAGGGACCACTCTCCACACATTCGGACGGGCCTCATGCATGAAAGAACTGGCAGAGGAATCCAGGCATGCGGGTCCCGGGGCTGAGGTCTCCAAGCCTATTCGGATTGGGACTGGGCCTTCTCCAACCAGACCTCCTATCTTCCAGTAGGTAGGCGTCACACCCACCAGCTGCTGCCAGCGCCAGGTTGGTCCCATCAATGGCCAAGACGCAGAGACTATAAAACCCAGCTCCCAGAAGCATGCGACTGCATTAACGGCCGCGCAACATCTTATTATCTTATTTTTCCTTTGGAGAAACTGGCAGGCTACCAAAAGTATCCTGCCCGCACGGCAGAGTCTGGCAAACTTCCCATGTTGTACTCAATATTCCAAATACCAGTAACAATGATGGGTTTCATTTTCCTAATCCTGAAAGAGCATTGAAATGGCTCTTTTAAAACCTCAGGGCTAGGAAGAAGGAGACGTTACTGGTGCCTGCTCAAGGAAATCGACGAACAACAGGATGATCATCAATAGTGCCTGTTCTCTACATCTGGATTAAATATTTATCAAATTTCCGCAATGTCATTATGAAGTTATTATAAAGTTATTATAAGTCAGTGACAGCAGCTACTCTAATATTGTACATCTGCATACAGATTCAAACTGCACTAGTAACTGATTGCGTTTTCAGCGGTGCAGGAAACCTTACATGTAACTTGGTTAGAACTACTGATCATTAACTGCAAATAAGATAATCCTGCCAAGATAATGGTACATAATATTTTGCTTGTCAACAGTCACTGTCCTGCCGATGTTCACTGATTTGCTCAAGCGGGCCCAGTAACATTGTGAGACTTGCTACTGTGTTTGGTACATCAAATACGTCACCGGGTAGCTTGCCAGGATTTGCTGTGCAGATGAGATACTCTCGGTAGCTTGCCAGGCTCTCTGAGAGGGGCGGAGGTATCTAACTTGGGCCGGCCCTGTTGGCTGCATGGAAGGCAAAAGCCCTATCCACCGTGCTATCCCTCCAGCCCATTTTGCTTGTATTAATCTATATAAATTACTGAACTGGAATGTAGATCATAGCATTATGAAAGGAATCAAAATGTGTGTCTTCTAGACTACTCTTATCATATGATGACTCAGATTCTCAGGCAATAATTTAAATTGGCAATGGCATCTGTTGCAGTTAAGTTTATGGCTGCATCTCCACAAATGGTTCCCCTTAAAACAAAGATTATCTAGCTCCTGAGGGTCTTATTTTAAAAGGATGTTAACAGTTGTAACAAAGAAAGGAATAGTATCATTCAGTTTATTCTTAATTACCCATACCAATAAATACATATAGAGATATAGAAAATTCAAACACAATAAAACAGATTACTTCAATCATAGGAAATATGCTTTGATAAATTGCACTATTCCAAAACAAATGATTTCCCTTGTTCCACAGGTCTTGGACAAAGTTAGATACTTTGCCACATTTTGCTCTCTCTTTACACCAGAATACTTTTATTTTTCAACATAAGCAGGTATTGAATGTCTACCTTGATAATAGTAATATGCTAAATTCCATTCTTCTCTCAACATTTTTTCTGACCTTATATATGGCTTTACTCAACTTGGAAAAAGAACAAGGGATGCATGGGAAAATAAAGAGTTTGTGTTTAAATGTAACTTCCTTGATATTGTGCTAAAGTGTGAATGAACACAACAGTAATTCCCTCTAACCCTCAAAATAGTACTTGGGATTTTTAGGAATACCAGCACACAGTGCAAGAATCAAGATAGGATGTAAAGGAAAAAAAATCAACAGGAGAAGAAAGATTCTCTGGAAAACTGGATTTGGCAGAAGGTATATTTATTAGTAACAAAGGGTTATCATTCTAGGAAGTATAGATAAGAATCATTTAAAGCATTAATAATGAAATCTAACAAAGTTTGGACATACTCTAGCTTCTTTAGTCAAAGAGTGAAGATCCAGGAATATAGCTGATGATCCATTTTAGATATTATACTTCAAATTATTATACTGTATTATACTTCAAGACATTATACTACAATCTCTTACTGTTCATTTGCAGAAGCCCTGACTGTCTGCTGTATCCCAGGAAATGTTGCAATGAAAAATCAGACCATGGCCTTATTCTCCTGGAGATTGCATTGCTGTGGAAGGCAGCAGGCAATAAAACTGATGTTATGCAATGGATTTCACAGTGACAAGTGAGGGTATTTGGACCTCCAAAGTACAGCATGCTAAGTGGTATAGAAAGACAACAGAGCATCTGAAGAGAACTGAAATGATCTGACTTTCTTGTTGCATGAATGCCCTGACACCTGTATTGAAAAAATGACTAGAATCCATGAATGGAGGTTGTTACATTCATTCTAACAGGTGTGAGAGCTTGTACTACAGGGGTTCAGAGGGCGTGCTGAGATTTGGTCAGAATCCAGGCATATTCCCCAAAGTGAAACTAGCAAGATTTAACTAATGGGTTGGATGTGAGATATGAGAAGTGAAAAGATGCAAGAATGGATATGATGATTGGGGTTTATTACATGAAGATAATCAAGCATAAAACAGAGTAAGTGTAAAAAGTTCTATTTCCGAGGCTCTACATTCTATGGGAACTATTCCATCCCTGCACTGTTTATAAAAATGGATAACAATAATTGTTATGTCTGTTTGACCAAAGAGGCCAGGGGCTGATGTTCATACATTTAATAAATGTCAAGTATTCTTTAAGAAAATAAGTAAATATGCAGTATCCATAACTGCCAAAGGCAAGTTCTATGATGTTATGTAAAAACGGATTTAAGAAAACTACATATTCACCTGTCTCTAGAGGCTCTGGTGTCTACTTGTCCACTACTGTTTAGGAGTTGGAGTATAGTATAAAGGGCAGAGCACATGCCTTACATGAGGCTAACTTGAGTTCAATCCCTGGCACCCGATTTGGTCTCCGTAGCATTGCCAAGTGTGATCCCTGAGAGTAGAGTCAGGAATAAATACTGAGCAATGCCAGGTCTGGTCTCCCAAACAAAAAAAGTAACAGTGGACAGGCACATGGGTCCTGCTATCAAAAACGGCCCTGGAGAGTGAGAGTTAACCACTCAGAATTCTTAAGTGCTCTTATAACAATGATAATAACAAGAAACCTCTCCTACCTCTGGGAAGCACATACTTAAAAACAGCACCTGTCCTGGGAGTAAAACAGGCTGATGGTACAGACATAGCAGTTGATGACTCTGATCAATTATAACGGTTTTGGTTGAGGAGCAAGGTACCCAACTAAATTTTCTAAATCAGGAATTTCTAACTTGGGAGTTTTTATAAAATCTTATGACTTTAGTAAAATTCATTCTCAACTATGGACAATGTTTTTACTAAGGAATCTGGGGGAACTAAGTTAGAACAACTGCTGGGAAAAGAAAAATGCCAAATTATGCCTGTGGGTAATGCAGCAGTTGAGAAGTAATGAGACAGGTTTCAGGGCAGACAAAGGTTAATAGTTATGCATAGGTGACTCAGAAACATTTCACCAAAAGTGAAGAATTCGTCTCCGTGAAGATGTAAAAATAATTTCCCATTTATATTCTAAATTTTGATTTACATTCGGAGGAAACAGTTCAATGTCTTCATTAGAATGATGCAAAGTTTAATTTTTTATTAAGGTTCATTAAGGCAGATTTTTATAAGCCACAATGGCTGAGTTCTCAGTTTCCACAAAATAAAAAAATAACCACTATCTATACACATGGGAAGAAACAAATTGCTTCACGAAATATTCTTAGTTATGATTCTAAAGGTTTCATTCTAAATTTACATGTATATATGCATATATCATAACATATACTCCTCTTTAAAAATGTTACTTTACTATGTATGAATGACTTCCAGTGAAAATACCTTATTCGAATCATTTCATGTGGCTAAGAGTCTCAGTTTTCACAGAAGCAGTAATTTCACAGATTTGAAAATTAAAGACCTAAGGCATATTTGCAAAGAGTTTATACCAAAGTCAATAAAATCGATACACAAAGATGAACTAGTTTCACAGAAGGACTAACTGGTCAATTGTAAATATGTAACTTATGAGCAGGTATGGGCTGACACATTCTACTTAAACAAAGCATGTGTTTAATTTTTAACTGCTGCAAGTGAATATGGCAAAACAGATTTTTCACATAAGATAGGAGCTTTATTTAGAAGGTCTTAAAACACTGATGCCGTGGCATATGTGGGATTCACTTCGAGCAGGTGAGGGGAAGACGAGAAGCCCCTCAAAGAGAATGGCAATCTCCCTCCAGGGCAGTGAAACCAAAGAATAAGGAACGGGTCCCTGAGAACCAGTCAAGGGTCAAGGCCTTGTGTTTTAAGCAATAGTAGAAGAGAAAAACCTCTGATTTCAAACACAAGACCCATATTTCATATCACTGCCATGGACAATTTTCTGATTTTTCAGCAATGATACCACATAAAAGCGATTCTTCACATAAGCAATTCTGTATAAAATGCTCCAGAACAATGTTTGGCAAACTTTTTCTGCAAAGGCTATATATATTATATTATATATATATATATATATATATATATATATATGTCTTTTCTGGCCAATCTGTGTTATAATGGCACAATATGACCATAGGAACCCAAGACAATCCATGAATAACCAACTAAACTCTAGAAACTAAAATAAGCAGTGGGTTTCTTGTTTTTTAAGGCCAATCATAGATAACTAATGACTATTCTATGGCTAAATATAATGTTCAAGACTTTGAAATAGCAAGCATAGTAAAATTCTTTGTATTACAAATGAGCAATAGACACATACTTTATATGTCATAATTTATTGCAGTGATGTACTTTGACAATTCCTATTTGATCTGTTTGGTTTATTTATTTATTTAGGAACTATCAAACACTGCTATGTTGAGTTCACAATGGAAGGTGATTCAGAGCTTGAAAAAAAATGAATAAACTATTCCAGTGTGAACAGCAACTGAAGCTTACTCATTACTCACTTACTGAATTACCCCAAACAATAATAGCTTTCTATAAGATATATTTGTTGAATGCTTTTTATGTGCTACACACTGACATATGGTCTAGGAAGCTAGATGATTAAATGAAGGGAAGCATCTCCTCATAAGAGGAAACGTTGTAGCAGTTTCAAAAGGGTAAATATCCATATTTGTAAAATGAGATAATTATACTAGCTACATATTTTGTAAAACTACTATGAATAGGAAGCATTTAGTGGCCTGCACGAGTATAAGGGTTAAAAGCACTCCTTTTGCACAGTACCAAAACCGGTTCAAATCCCCAGCACAACCTATGTTCCTCTGAGCATTGTCAGGGGTTAGTCCTAAGCACAGACCCAAGAATAGCCCCTGAGTACGACTGAATGTGGCCCCTGAAACAAAACTAAACAAAAAAGAAATCAAGAAGACAAATGAAGCACTCAGCAAAATTTCTGGGATCTATCCAGGAGTTTCTTTCCACATCACTATTAGCCAAATAAGGGCAATAAATAATTTTAAACATCAAGTTGAGCCCATGGCTCAAGTGGCAAAGCCCAAGCACATGCCCTGAATATAGCCCTGGATTCTCTTTCATTCCTGGTAACACACACCCCTGGGCTTTATCCCCTGCATCAGTGGGCCCTTGAGAACTGCAGGGAGGGGCCCGGGATCCTTAAGTACCTCCAGGGGTAGCTCCTGCACAATAAACATAAACCAACTTGAGTGGTTACACCAAAATGAAAGGCTTGAAAGTAATATAAAATCCTAATATTTGGGGGGGAACAGAGTGATAGCACAGCAGGAAGGGAGCTTGCCTTGCATGTGGCCCACCAGAATTCAATTCCCAGCACTCCCTCTGGTCCCCCAACCCCCACCAGAGTGATCCCTGAGTACAGAGCAAGGAGTAAGCCCTGAACACCATAGTTGAGACCCAACAAAAACAAACAAAAATTCCCAGAATTTTTCAGAGAAGGGACCCCCGTTTTAGTTTCCAGGTAATGAATTTATATATAGTCAATCAAGGCATACAACACAGAACTTTTGACACTCTGTGTCATTCTCCACTTACCCTCCAAAAATTCTCATAAGATTTAAAACTTGAGGGGCTGGAGCGATAGCACGGCGGGTAGGGCGTTTGCCTTGCACGCAGCCAACATGGCCGACACAGGTTCGATTCCCAGCATCCCATATGGTCCCCCGAGCACCGCCAGGAGCAATTCCTGAGTGCATGAGCCAGGAGTAACCCCTGAGCATCGTCGGGTGTGACCCCAAAAAAGCAAAAAAAAAAAGATTTAAAACTTGATTCTTTTTTAAAAAACACATGACACCTTTATGTAGCTGGACAAGGGAAATAGCCAGGAATATGCCCCAAGGGGGAAAGCACAAGCTTAGTATGTGTGAGGCCCTTAGTTTGATCTCTAGCCCCATGCAGCCCTCACCAATCCTGCCAGGTCCCTAAAATAATAAAAAGCCTGTCTTAAGCAAACGTATAAGATTAACCTTTAGTAATAAGAGAAAAAAATATGATGCATTGGTATGGCAGCTAAAGGTGAATTCTCAAAGGTTCTTGTCTACTATTTTTTTTATTGCTAAGCATTCAGAATTTATAAGAATCTTTGAAATTACTAGATTTTCACTAAATATTTGCTTCACGAAAGAACAGAAAACAACAAACGACTTGTAAACTTGTTTTTGCTTTAATGTTATGGCATCCAAAACCCTAAGATGTAAATTATTTAAAAACAACATAAAAAATCCTCGGCATCTCCAGTACGAAAGTTATGTATCTTCTTATTATTAATCTTCTACGAATCTTCATATTGGTCAGAAACTAATGTCTGTGACATTTCATAGAAATAATAATAAAAAAAAAACTTACCTTCTTTTTCTACTCTGAAAACAAAAGTTCTTTGTGTTGTAACAACTTCAAATTTGTTGTCTCCTTGAACTCGTACCGTAGATATAGCAGAAAGAGGAATGATTCCTTTTGAATACTTCTCCTGTGTTGATTCAAGCAAAGAATACACAAAGACTACTTGTTAAAATAAAATTCTCTTGACCTTACCAGAAATAGTAACACAATACTGACAAGCGCTTCTTTTCCATAATTCAATATAAAATTTTGAAACAGTACATATTCTTGTGTATGCACTGTCCCACAAAGAAAAATATTAAATTGCTCCTTTCAGGTGGATCTATTTTTCAATTTTCTCATCATCTGGAACTAAGAGGCAAAAAATCAAAAGCAATCAGACAAGACCAGCAATATATAGTCCAAAAAGCAAGAGAATGTTCTTTCAAACAATCTAGTCACAATGATTTTATGGTGTCTACAGGCATCTGGTGGCCAAAACAGGTACTGTAACTGAACCACTTCAAAAGTATTGCTCTTACATATCATAAAGAAAATGTGTAAGAAACCACACCGCTGGGTTTTTTTCGATTAACCATAATACTCCATGATCTAATGAGAATGTCACTAGATCCAACTATTTCACAATCATGTTATTCTATGACATTTATACTTCAGTGACTAAAATATGATATAAAGATGGACTGGGCAATTTGTAATTGGCAATGTACATAATAAAAAATTTTTAGGGCAATTATAAGACTCCTGATGCTATTCTTTCTTCATAGTTTTAAACTGAACTATCCTACGCCGTTTGACATAATGACTGCCACACAATTTCGAGTCTTCATGAAATGTGCTACATTTTCTAAAATCTGTAAAGAAAAATTCAAATAATAGCTATGTATTCAAGGAACCTCAAAATGAAAGAGCAGCTAATGCAATCATATAAATGTCTAATTGGATACAAACCATGAGGCATAAGAATACAAAAGACAGGAATTCACAATGCTACTTCTAAAAGACGAGAGATAATGGCAGAGAAATGTTTACTTCTGTTGCCGATACTAGAAAATCTAAATCTAACCAAACAAATCAGTTATAGGATCCACCCTGATCAGATAAATAAAATTATAAGATGTGTAAGAAGAGACTGAAGAGGAGAATACAAAGCAATGAGACCAAAACCATAAATCACGGTCATCTAATATATGGTCTTGAGTACTCATCCAAGTTTAGATTCGTCTTCCTTCGTCTCCTCTTCCCTACCATAGCATCATACAGGGAACCCTCATTTTGAAATAGGTCCCGAGAACTATGCAACTACCGCTGTGGTAATGTATGTGCTCAACCAATGTTGTTCCACTGGAAATTCCTGCAGACCAGCACTTTTCTGCATCCAGGTGCATGGATCGACAGTTACAACCAAGGCAGTAGATGAGAGTGGTATTCAATCATTCTCACCTCCAGACTGGCACAATTCACACACAGGTAGTTGAAGACCACTGCACTAAACTAGTCCAGCAGAAAAAGTATCAAGTTCCTGTTCCACCCAACAGTATAGCCCTGTCATATATGGCGGATAGGCAAGGGGACAGAGAGGGGACGGATGTCAGCAACAGGGGGTTCTCAGGTTCATCCTCTGCTAAGAGTGCTCTCATGCTGCTTTCTCATAGTTCTTCAGCAGTTTCTTCTCCTCCACTGTCTCTGCTCCAATCTCCCATCCCTGACTTTATTTATCCAAGTCCTACCAACTCTTCAGTGCCACCTAAAGTACGAATTCTATGAAAGCCTTCCTCTTTCCTCTCAGTGAGGATTCAGTTACTATATTTAAATTATGATTTAGAAAGAAAAGTGGGCAACCTCACAGGAAGGAGAAAAAATTTTGAAAATGGTATAATTTTTCCTTTATTTTCCACATCTCTCCTTCTTCCGTTATCCACTTAAGGCAACTCTACTATATATAACCATCAAACTGTGCATGGACTTATCCCATCAGACTTTTACAATTTAACTGTATCGTGAAAATGCACCCTCCTGCTTACATTTCATTTCATTTTCATTTCATCATCCTGTTAATCGTCGATTGCCTCGAGCAGGCCCCAGTAACGTCTCTTTCATCCTAGCCCTGAGATTATATTCAGGGCTCTTTAGGAGAATGAGACCCATCATTGTTACTGGTATTTGGCATATTTGGTAGGCCACGGGGAGTTTGCCAGACTCTGCCCTGTGGGAAGGCTACATTCGACAGCCTGCAAGTTTGTCCAATGTAGGAATGAGATAGTAAGATGTCGCGCGGCCGCGAATGCGGCCGCGCGGTTCCGGGATCTGGATTTTATAGTCTCTGAGTCTTGGCCGCTGATGGGATTACACGGCGCCAGGGGGCCAGGTGGTGGGTGTGACCCCCGCCTACTGGAATTTGGAGGATCTGGGTGGAAGATGCTCGACTCCAATTCGAGTAGGCTTGGAGGTCTCGGCCCCGGAACCCGCGTGGCTTTGTCCCTCTGCCAGTACCTTCAGGTGTGCGGAGAGTGGTCTCAGCATGGTGGTGGCTGGTCCTGGAGGTCTCCGGCTGCCGTAGCCCTGGCCGGGGCGGGGAGGAAAGCTCAACCCGCTCCCCTCCAAGGGACTCCGGGAAGGAACATCCGAGGCGCGGGGGCAGAGACTGCACTGCTCTCGTCCGGGCCGAGACCTCCAAGCCTACTCGAATTGGAGTCGAGCATCTTCCACCCAGATCCTCCAAATTCCAGTAGGCGAGGGTCACACCCACCACCTGGCCCCCTGGCGCCGTGTAATCCCATCAGCGGCCAAGACTCAGAGACTATAAAATCCAGATCCCGGACGAGAGCAGTGCAGTCTCTGCCCCCGCGCCTCGGATGTTCCTTCCCGGAGTCCCTTGGAGGGGAGCGGGTTGAGCTTTCCTCCCCGCCCCGGCCAGGGCTACGGCAGCCGGAGACCTCCAGGACCAGCCACCACCATGCTGAGACCACTCTCCGCACACCTGAAGGTACTGGCAGAGGGACAAAGCCACGCGGGTTCCGGGGCCGAGACCTCCAAGCCTACTCGAATTGGAGTCGAGCATCTTCCACCCAGATCCTCCAAATTCCAGTAGGCGGGGGTCACACCCACCACCTGGCCCCCTGGCGCCGTGTAATCCCATCAGCGGCCAAGACTCAGAGACTATAAAATCCAGATCCCGGACGAGAGCAGTGCAGTCTCTGCCCCCGCGCCTCGGATGTTCCTTCCCGGAGTCCCTTGGAGGGGAGCGGGTTGAGCTTTCCTCCCCGCCCCGGCCAGGGCTACGGCAGCCGGAGACCTCCAGGACCAGCCACCACCATGCTGAGACCACTCTCCGCACACCTGAAGGTACTGGCAGAGGGACAAAGCCACGCGGGTTCCGGGGCCGAGACCTCCAAGCCTACTCGAATTGGAGTCGAGCATCTTCCACCCAGATCCTCCAAATTCCAGTAGGCGGGGGTCACACCCACCACCTGGCCCCCTGGCACCGTGTAATCCCATCAGCGGCCAAGACTCAGAGACTATAAAATCCAGATCCCGGACGAGAGCAGTGCAGTCTCTGCCCCCTGCTTACATATCAGCCTAATAAAATGTTGCTTAACTAGTTTGAAATTACAGTTTTTGACATATGATGTGGCTTTGCTGATCAAACTTATAACATGCTCTGCAGCTAAATATCAACATGCTGCTTTTATCCACATCTGTCTTCTTGGAGGTTCCTGAAAGAACTGTGGCTCTGTGTAGACTAGCTCATCTACATAGTGCTGGTTCTGCTAAGATGTACATTTCACAATGCTCTTCTCAAAGTCACTGCTTCTACATTCTTCCCATTTCTAACCAGCCTCTTCTCCATCCCTGATCTTCACCAGGAAGATAACCCTCCTCTCATATGTAGATGCTAGCACTATGGTTTGTGTTCATGAAATGTGAGTCACTGTATTTGTGGTATGCGGGCGTCAGTTTAACCACAGACTATACTTTTCCTCGAGCAATTATTATCTAGACTTAAATGATTATTTTATTTTTACTACGCAATCCTTTGCCTATTAGAGTCTCTCCAGTAGACTGCCTAATTCATATACAACCTACTGAAATACATCTATTTTCCTCATCACGTTTCACATAATCAGTGTTGTATAAATATTTTCTGAGTGTATTATATTTCCAATTATTCACAATTTTGCTAAATTCTAACTGCTCACTTAATGGTTTCTAAATTAACTTTTAACAGCTCTATTAGCTTATCCATTAGTCAAGTTTCTTATACAATGGGTCGGGACTCCAGAATTTGAGAGTCACAAAAACTCTTTATTACAAAATTTCTTGGTCATAAATAGCTGTAAGTGGAAAATGTTTAATAAGTCCTACTCTATACTAGTGTTTCTCAAAGTAGGTGATACTGTCCCATCCCAAGGGAGGAGAGGACTGATACTGGAAGATGCAGTGATAGGGTGGGGCGTTGGGGACAGCAGCAGCTGAGGTACAATTGGAGGAGGGAGAGTTTATATTTGGTGACTTAATGAAAGTAGATTTCCAGGGAGGCACTGAGTAATTTTTTTTCCTAAAAAGAAGCAGTAGAACAAGTAATTTTAGGAGCCTCCAGTATATACTTTTATACTCTTGATAATTCATCCCTGCTCTGCCTTCTAACCATTCTGGTGTATTATTGTTCAAAAGTCATGGTGGAGAAAATAAAGAAAAGATTCAAAAAAGAGGCATCAAGGAATTTCTTGACATTTAACGTGATTTGGCTGGAAAGGAATGGCTATGTAGGTACTGATGTGACAGCCAAATCATGCAGGCAAAAGTATAGGAAGGGGCAAGTCCAAACTCCCCAGCATATACTCAGAGAGCACTGACAACAGTCACTAAATATGGGCAGGACACTGCTGACTTCACAGAGGATGTCCAATAATGTAAAGCAATTAGACTAATAGCTACTCAAGAAATTCTGCGGTAAGACAGAGTATCTTGCTGTTGAACAGCTTAATAAATGGGAGGGGGTTTGGCATCTTCAGTGATGTTAGGGGACATCCAGGGCACCTGTGACCCTGTGTGAAAATTCTAGAATGACCAAAAATACTGTAGCACTGTAGCACTGTCCTCCTGTTGTTCATCAATTTGCTCGAG